GCCAAGCCACCCCCCGCGCCACCCCGGCGCCCGGGCCCTGCCAGCCGCAAGCGCCAGCGCTACGTGGAGAAGGATGGCAAGTGCAACGTGCAGCACGGCAACGTGCGCGAGACCTACCGCTACCTCACCGACATCTTCACCACCCTCGTGGACCTCAAGTGGCGCTTCAGCCTCCTCGTCTTCATCCTCGCCTATGCCGTCACCTGGCTCTTCTTCGGCCTCATCTGGTGGTTCATTGCCTACTGCCGGGGCGACCTGGACCACCTGGAGGACCACGCGTGGACGCCGTGCGTCAACAACCTCAACGGCTTCGTCTCGGCCTTCCTCTTCTCCATCGAGACGGAGACCCATTGGCTACGGCCACCGCGTCATCACAGACAAGTGTCCCGAAGGCATCGTGCTGCTGCTGCTCCAGGCCATCCTGGGCTCCATGGTCAATGCCTTCATGGTGGGCTGCATGTTCGTGAAGATCTCGCAGCCCAACAAGCGGGCCGAGACGCTGGTCTTCTCCTCGCACGCTGTGGTCTCGCTGCGGGACGACCGCCTCTGCCTCATGTTCCGCGTGGGCGACCTGCGCGACTCGCATATCGTTGAGGCCTCCATCCGCGCCAAGCTCATCAAGTCCAAGCAGACGCAGGAGGGCGAGTTCATCCCTCTCAACCAGACCGACCTCAGCGTGGGCTTTGAGACGGGCGATGACCGCCTCTTCCTCGTCTCGCCCCTCATCATCAGCCACGAGATTGACGAGCGAAGCCCCTTCTGGGATGTCTCCCGGCAGCAGCTCGAGAAGGACGACTTCGAGATCGTCGTCATCCTCGAGGGCATGGTGGAGGCCACAGGTAACAGGGCCACCGCCACTGGCCAGGCTGGGCTTTGGGGACCATTGGGGACCCCCCCGCTGTGGTCCCCGTCATGGTCCTGCCTGGTGCTAGGAGAGAGGTGACCCCGAATCCAACCCCTGAGCTCAGCCTGGATGTGGGTCCCCCCACCCAGAATAACCCTGTTGCAGGACCCAGGGGGTCCCAGCCACCCCCTTTTCCCCCCCATGGGGATCCTCCACCTTCTCTGTCCCTGCTGAGAGGTTGGGGAAGGGGGCTGCATCCCACAGGGACACCCGGATGACAGGGACAGCCTCGGCGTCCCAGCCTGTCCCCTGCTTGCTGGGGCTGGTGGCATCAAGAACCTCGGGGTAGGGGAGGAATGGTTTGAGGGCCAGCTCAGCCTCACAGGACGCCTGGGTCCCCCTTAGCGAGTAGGGGGGTGGCACTTGCCCGTGCTCAGAAGGACATTTGAGATTCCCATGCTTCAGGACCTCTCCCCTTAGAAAGGGGATGCCTTGCCCCTCCTGTGCCTCAGTTTCCCCATTTAACACTAAGGCAGATACCAGCAGGGCTGCACAGGCCAGGGGAGGGGTGGGGGGGCAGTGCCAGGCGCTGCACAGGTCCCCCAGCTGGGATTGGGGTGCACTGGGTGCTACATGAACCCCCTAGTTGGGATCAGGGTCCTCCCTGGTGCTGCACAGGGCTCCCCCCCCCCGCTG